ATCAATGGAACCATCTTGTTTAAATTTCAACCGAAAGACCCATTTGTTGCCAATAATGGGAACATTAGGAGGGGGTCTACAAGAACCCAAGTTTTGGTTTTTTCTAATGAAGCAAACTCAGAATTCACTGCCTTTAACCACTCATTTGATTGAGCAGCTTCTTTATAAGTTCTAGGTTCCCTGACTTGTGATATTGCTAAGGCAAATCTTTTGTGGGAAGGGCTAAGAGAACTATAGGAAAGTAGTGCTTGAATGGGATACCTTGTTTTAGAAAACAAAGTAGCCTGACTGGCCAGATTACACTTGTAATCTTTGTATCTAACTGGCTTTATGATCTGTCTAGTGGATCTCCTTAATGGAGGCAGATCAGTAGGAGGAGCCATGGTAGTGGAATCAAGAGTATGATTTGTGGGAGCCAACTCAGGGGCTGATTGAGGTAATGGAATGGATGAGGGAATGACAGACTAAGATGAGGTAGAAGGAAACTCAGTATGAGCTTTCTCAAAGTCAAAGTCTGGAGAAAGTGATGAGAAAACAGGTAATGGAAGTGTATTGTTTGTGATTTGAGATGGATCCTGAAATGGAAAGATGGTTTCATGAAAGGAAACATCTCTGGATATCAAGACATTGTGAGTTTTTAAACTGTATAGTCTGAAACCCTTAGTTCCATGTGGATGACCTAGGAAAATACAGGGTTGAGCCCTAGGATCAAGCTTACTACGAGTTGCTTGAATGGTAGCTGCATAAACAAGATAGCCAAACACCCTAAGATGAGTTAAGCTTGGTGGTTTACCATATAATTTCTCATATGGAGTGGAATTCTGAAGAAGAACAGAAGGTGTTCTGTTTATGATGTGTACTGCATGCATTGCAGCATAATTCCAGAATTGAGCAGGTAAGTATGCTTGAAAAAGTAAAGCACGAGTAACAACTAAAATATGTTGATGCTTTCTTTCTACTATACCATTTTGCTGAGATGTATAAACACAGGTAGTCTGATGAACAATTCCTTTTGATGAATAGAAGTCTGGAATATGGAATTCAAGACCATTATCAGCACGAATTGTTTTTATTTTGGCTTTAAACTGTGTTTCAATGGAAGCAAAAAAGTTTATAAGAGTTGGTCGAGCTTCTGATTTGTGTTTCATGGTAAAGATCCATGTGTGACGAGTAAAGTCATCTACAATGGTAAGAAAATAGGCATGGCCTTGAAAAGAAAGTACTGGAGCATTTCCCCATATGTCAACGTGGATGAGATCAAAAGGAGCTGTGGATTTACTTGTACTAACAGCAAAAGGGAGTTGTTTTTGTTTTGCCATAGGACAGACAGTACAATGAAAACCAAACAGTGAAGAGATAGTACTATCAATGGTTTTGAGATGTGAGATTTTACAATCAGGCACATGACCAAGGCGATAATGCCAGATATCTATACTAGGCTGAGAGGAAGAATATACAATTCTGGAAGGATAAGCAGGTTTGGTGTTGAGCTGGAGATTGTGTTGAAGTTGTTTAGTCTGAGAAGGGTGATGGAATAGGTAAAGACCATTAATCAGACTAGCTGTTCCAATCATTGTCAAACTGGGGTAAGACTGTATGAAGCACAATGAATAGTGAAACCATAAGCAAATGGTTGTGCTTCTGACCAGTTTACTTACAGAAACCAAATTGAAGCTAAAGGAAGGTACTAACAAAACATCAGTCAAAATGAGATGTTATGAGTATTGGACTACACCTATGGCAGTTACAACTACTTTACTACCATTAGGCATGTGAACATAAACATTGGAAACTGGTTTGGATTGCAAAAAATGAGCAGAAGAACAGATGATGTGATCTGTTGCTCCTGTATCCAGGATCCATTTGTTCTGAAGAGAGCAATTAACAGTAAAGGCATAGTGAAGTGTACCCGTGGTGTCAGGGACTTCAAAAGCACGAGAAGCAACAGAATTAGCTCTGCTGACAAGATGATGCTGGCCAGAGCCTTCACTCTCGTTGGAAACTGAGTAGTGAGAAGGATTATTAGCCTGATAGGCATCAGAAAAAGTAGCTGCCGCTGGAAGATAGTGTTGTTGCTGCTGCTGAGCAGAAAACTGATTCTGCTGAGGAGGATACTGAATCTGAGAAGGAGCTTGGTTGGACTGCTGCACTGGTGGATTCATAAAATTCAGCATTTTCTGATACTGTTGTTGAAAGCTCTGCCAATCTGACTGATTGATCATAACAGTACCATTGGAGGAAGAGGCAATATCAGTTGAAACACTATTGGCCTGCCTGGGATTCTGCTGCCTTTTCTTAGACTGATATCCAGGTGGATAGCCATTCTTTTTGTAGCATACATCCTCTGTATGACCAGTATAACCACAGAATGTGCAAACAGGTTTCTTTGCTTGTTTCTTGAACCCTTGACCAGCACCCTGAACTCCCAAATGTGACCCTGATGCCTTAGTAAAGAAGGCCATGCTATCCGAAGCTGGGTTAGGAGCAGACTGGGGCTTAGGCAACAAACCATTCTCCCTCTCATGTTGTACCATCATGGCAAACACTTTGTTAATGGGTGGCAAAGGCTCTAAGAGCATAACAGTAGATCTAGGGCCATTGAAACTGTCATTCAGATTGCGCAAGAAACGTATCACCTTATCATTCATGTAGTCCTTTCGCAAAGAAGCCAGAACACAGTGACAAGTAATACCGCAATCACAATCAGGAATGAACCGATAATTGGCTAACTGATCCCACAGTGCTCTCTGTTTAGAATAATACTGAGAGACGCTCATTGTACCTTGTTTGAGGTTGAAGATCGCTTCTTGAAGGTCAGCGATACGGAAAGAATCTCCCTGAGAGAATTGCTCACGCAGCTCAGTCCAAGCACCAATGGCGGTCGTGACGTACAAGATGCTTTCAGCGATAGTCGGATTAACAGAGCGCTGAATCCAGCTGAGGAGCAATTTGTTGTTGCGATTCCAAGGCTCGAGCAAAGGAGAATCGTCAACTGGCTGCGGGATTTTGCCATTCAAGAACCCTAGCTTGTTCTTGCCATCAATAACCAGAACGATCGATCTTTCCCACCTGGAGAAGTTGTTCTCGTTGAGCGGCTGAGAAACGAGGCATTGTCCCCAATTCTCCGATGGATGGATGAAGAACGGAGAAGCAGGATCGGAAATTGGGACGCCTTTGTAAAGAATCACGCGCGGAATTGCTCTAGCGACCTCCATTGTGAGGATTTGCATTCGCGGCCTCGTCGCCGGAAGAGAAGGAATCGGTAATCGCCATAGGAGGACGATGAACTCAAGAAGCAGAAGAAAAGAGAAGAGAGAGGCGGAAGCGAGAAAGAGAGACGGAAAAACGCTCAGGAGAGCTCTGATACCATGTCAGATTTCTGTTTAATTCTTCTTTATTGCTTGAGAATGAACGCAAAACTTACATTCTCCAGTCTAAGTCACTGGTTTTATACTCTATCTACAAGAAGAAAGTAAAGTAGTTACGAGTCTCTAACTAACCTATCCATATTACATTATAGTACCTAACCTAATTACATTCTACCTACATAAGTTTATACCTATTACATTCTGATACATAGTATCTCTAATATTTTATGCAATGAAACAATTGACCTACCTTCGAATCAAGTGAAGTAAAATTGTTAACGGTTGTTTGGCAATCTTTATTGTTTGGCCGACGACTCATACAGTTTTAGAATAATTTCACAATACGAAACAGGAAACCGTGTATATAAATTTTTTATGACAATCCCTTGAATAAAATCATGGATAGTGCTCATATTGATAACATAGAAACACTATTGACGAAAAATATAAACTAATAACTATGAATGCATACAAGTAGTCCCGATAAGTAAGGTTTCTATTTTCTTGTCGTGAAGAAATCCAAATTGAATCATTCAACACAAATTACGTGAACAAATTTGATAGCACCGCAATATTTTCTAGGTGATGGTGATTGATGTTTAAAGAAGGTCCTATTGGTTAACAAAAGGGAAAGATAACAACCATTTCTTGGAACAGGCAAACAAGGCCTTTGTTACAGACCTGCGAGTTAGTTCCCCCTAGGGTCTGATACTTGACGTGCATGACCACCGACGACCAATCAATCTAGTAATTAGTTACATGTTTTTAGTAAATAGTTTTTTAATTACATCTTTCTTTCAACGATCGAATACGTGAGAATTTAGTATTACCTATTAATGATATCAACATTTGTTTTTATTTTTTCACAACAAGTTAAATTATGAACATGAGTTGGATATTCGGATTTTAGTGCTGCCTTCTTCAGTTTTTTATATAATATTATAATGTGTGTGTTTATATTTTGAAAAAATATTTAAAATTGATAGAATAATGATCAGAATGATTGTGTTGTTAAAAACTTATGATTTTACTGTTCTTGATCATCAAAACATTTCTACATAAAAACTCGCTTTTGACTACATTGGTGTGTACAATAATCCTGAATAATGATTTTTTGAGTTATGCTCTAACATTAGCATTTTTATTTTATTTTTTTATAATGGTGACATCAATTAATTAATATTCAACAAGATAAAAGATACAAATAAGACCAGGCGGCGAACACTAACGTTAGCATTTATTATAGTAAAAAGTATGGCATGAAACTTCAAACTTGGTGAGTGTGCTTTTATTCGACTAAGGTATGTGCCTAACTCTGTAACTCTTGACATTAGCATTTATTTTAGTAAAAAATATTAAGGTCTCTTTGTTGACTAACCGATAACCTCTCGTTAAGATACTTAATTATGAACGTATGTGTGGGAGTTTTCCACATCAATCATCGCCTAAGATTTCCCACGCCGATCCTGTCATTTTCATCTAATTAGTAATTACCACACCTCCTCCTCATATAAATGAAAACCATACCTACCACTCGATCACCAGTCTCCCCAACCGCACCCCATCTATAAAAATAAATCAGTCCAATAATTCTTCAAACAATAATTAATATTCATAAACAAAAACCAAAAAATGGCACCGACGGAGCCTCCCCTCCACGTCGTCCTGGTCTGCTTCCCCGGCCAGGGCCACATCAACCCTTTCCTCCGCCTCGCCAACCTCCTCTCCTCCCACGGCCTCCGCGTCACTTTCGTCATCAACCTCTCCACCGCCCGCCAAATGAAATCCCTCTCCCCATCCTCACCCTCCGCCGGCGCCGCCGCCGTTCACTTCGACTTCTTCGAGGACGGCCAGGACGAGGAATCCATCAAGCGGGTCCCACTAGACCACCTCCTGACCCTCCTCGAACACGCCGGGAGAAAGGCCTTGCCGCAGATGGTCCAAAACTACGCCGAAGCAGGAAACCCTGTCTCCTGCTTCGTCAGCAACCCCTTCATCCCATGGGTGTCCGACGTGGCGTCCTCGCTGGACATCCCCTGCGCCGTCCTCTGGATCCAATCCTGTGCCTCCTTCACAACCTACTACCACTTCCACAACAAGCTCGCCCCCTTCCCGACCGCCCAAGACCCGGAGCGCGACGTCGTTTTGCCCGGGATGCCGCTCCTGAAGCACGACGAGGTCCCCAGCTTCCTCCACCCGACGACGCCGTATCCGTTCCTAGCCACCTCCATCCTCCAACAATTCGCCCACTTGGGAAACGTCTTCTGCGTGCTGATGGAGACGTTTGAGGAGCTGGAGCCGGAGGTGATCCGCCACGTGTCGACGTTCTGCAAGGTCAAGCCCGTGGGCCCACTGTGGCTCAGCGCCAGGGCTTCCGCGGGTCCCGGGGACCTCATACAGGCTGACAACGACTGCGTTGGGTGGCTCGACGGGCAGCTGCCCGGCTCCGTCGTGTACATCTCGATGGGGAGCATCGTGGCCATGACGGCCGAGCAACGGGCCGAGATGGCCCACGGGCTGTTGGGCTCGGGGATGCCGTTCCTCTGGGTGGCTCGGCCCACTATGGACGAAGGTGATGACCCTGACTTGGGATTGCCGGAGGGGTTGGAGGAGAGGGGGAAGGTGGTGAGGTGGGCCCCGCAGGAGGAGGTGCTGGGGCACGTGGCGGTGGCGTGCTTCGTGACGCACTGTGGGTGGAACTCGACGCTGGAGGCGATCGGAGCCGGGAAGCCCGTAGTGGCGTTCCCGCAGTGGGGGGACCAGGTGACGGACGCGAAGTTTCTGGAGGAGGTATTTAGAGTTGGGGTGAGGATGGGGAGAGGGGACACGTGGACGAAGCTGGTGAGGAGAGAGGAGGTGGAGAGGTGTTTGAGAGAGGTTACGGTGGGTCCCCGGGCGGAGGAGATGAAAGAGAATGCGGCCCGGTGGAAGAGGGAGGCGGAGGCGGCGGTGAAGCCGGGAGGGTCGTCGGAAAGGAACGTGAGGGAGTTTGTGGAGGAGGTAAAGAAAAGGAGTGTGAGGAGGAAGACCAAAACGGCGACGTTGTAGTATGAATGGTCCTGGTGAATGCACGAAATAATTGGGGGAAATAGAGGCAATGGCCAATGAGACTATTCTTGTTCCCACAACCATAATGTACTATTCTCATTTAACCTTTGCATGGGAAGTTCCCTGTATGATGGAATTGTGAAGTACTATAACAGTACGGTTAGCAAGTTTTTTTATGGGAACTTGTGTGAATTATATTAAAAATGGTTCAATGGTTTACACATGGGTCACGGCCCAAATCATCTTCCAACATCGTCAAAAGAGACAGAGGGGGATTTTCAATCCACACCATTTGTTGATCCCATTGTGCACTCGCGTGAGAAAGCTAGTGGGCCACAACGTTCTTCTTCCTTTCAGCAAAATACCACAACACCTGGGTTCTAGAAAGGGCAAAATTTGGCTGCAAGCAGGGTTGCAGACTTGCAGTCCATCGCTGCTGCCAACCCACGTGGCGGCTGATGAATACCCACAATTAATTTCACGTTTTTTGATTGCTAACAGCGTGACGGAAGAACGGAACGGAAAGAAAGCTTCCGTTATTTTCTTCTTTTTTTCAATTAAGGTCTAGAGAAAGATTAACATTAAGGTGCAGCAGCTCCCAAACAATTATAGCTTGCCTTAGTAACTTCCTACTCAAAATTTTATTATCTCTTTATTATTTTCCAGAAAGGAAAGTGATTACTTTCGATAATAGATTTCAAGTTTGAAGAAAATAATTCTAAATGAATTAAGTCTAGTATAAAAAGGTAAATCCTTCAAAATAAATGGTACAAACTAAAAATATATTCATGCTTAATTTTTTACTATTAATTTCTAAGAACTTCCTATACTCTACTTGAATTTAATCGTACTCTTTAAAATGACAAGTGAAATCACTTTGATATATTTTGAACCATGGTGGTAATGCATGATGATAAATAAGATTATACCAAAGTGGTTTAGAAATGTAGAATGATTGTATACATATGATAGTAGGAATATACTAACCACCATCTATCACATCATTTATCATCAGTTACCACCCAATATCTGCGTAGTATATTTGGTCCTAAATTTTTTTTTTTCTGAAAATTCGAACATCACTATAGGTCATGATGGTAATGGGTGATGCAAATTATTTTCTGAAAATTTCAAAAATATTTAATATAATTTTATAGTTCACAATGAACGTGTTCCATTTGTGCAAAAATAAAAAAAAGATACAAGTCAATTGAAAATGTAAATATGAAAATAATTTAGTATAAACCCATAATAATTAAATATATAAATTAGATTTGATTGTTTAATTTAGGTCAAAGAGACTAAGCAAAGAGTCTTGAGTTTGCCTAGAGCTAGGACAGGGATAGGGAAAAGGGAGGAGAGGGAACAACTCAAGTTCTTGTCATTGGTAATCTTTAATTCGACGAATTGGAGGCCGAGAGATGACTAATAGTCTAATACTAGCACTTTCTTATTTATGTTATGAAAATAACAAGAGTTTAGATGAGAGAAGAGAGCGACTTAAACTGGAAAGCCAAAATTGAGTTGGATGGGGACTTGTGAGTTATGAAAGAGTGGAGAATGACCAAAAGTTGTGTGCTATATTTCATTAGTTTTTAATTGTTTCTCGGTATTTTGGTATATACCGATCCCAATCCTATAATCCCGAATACCGAATAACACTCCAAAATGAATCTCAATCTCGATCCTAAAAATAATAAAACAATATTCTTTTTTTTTTTTTACAAAAGATAATCATATATTGATTCCAACAAAAAGTTACATCCTGGAATTCAGCCAGGCCTGATAGTTAAAGACACGACTCACGATCGAGTACAAAGAGAGGGCTTTCCGAGCCACCAGATGGGCTACCCTATTACTACTCCGACCTACAAATCGAACCCTGAATCGAGGATGGATGCGAAAATAGTGCAAGATCTCCTCCAGAACAGCACCCACCCGATTGTCTCTGGCATCATTTTGATTAATTTTATCAATTATCACCTTAGCATCCCCTTCAAATTGGACATTGGTGAAGTTATTCGCCAGACACCATATAACCGCCTCCCTGAGGACAAGCAACTCCACAGTCATTGGATCCTCCAAAAGATGAAACTGAACACCCTTAACCATTAGTACCACCCTCGTCGGGGATAACAGAACAATTCCGCCAGCCGAATGCGAACCAGGACGAACTGCAACATCCCACATACAAACGACCCCCCCTAGCCCCTTCCAACCCCAAATCTTCCCTCAAAGGGACCGAAGGTTGAAGAGCCTTATCCACTGGAAGTCGAACCCATTCCTCATATTGCTGATGAAACTGACGCATCAAAGCAGGAAACCCAAACGGTTTGCCTTCAAAGACCACCCAGTTACGAGACCGCCAAATCCGCCAGAGGACCGCCACCACCGCCATAAACAGCTGGGGCTGGTGGACCAAAGCCATCAGCTTCTTGAGAAACAATGTGAATGTATGTCGAGGCAGCCCCTCCCCTACGTACTCCAGCCCTGAGTAATCCCAAAGAGCCCGCGCCACCGGGCAGTAGAGAAACAGGTGTTCCATCATTTCCGGACTTTCCCAGCAAACCGGACATCAAGGGAGAACGGGCACTCGTTTGCTAATAAGAGCCTCAGTAGTTGGTAGGATCCGATTGAGAATTTGCCAGACAAAAACTTTCAGCTTTGGGGGGATATTTGCTTCCCACAAACGGATCCAATTAGCCTTATCCATCAAGCAGACTGTTGCCTTCTAGCACCCACTCCTCTTATCCAAAGCCACTGCCAAATGGTATGCAGATTTGACCGAGAACAACCCATCAGCCGTATCATGCCAAATTAACCTGTCCTCCACATTCTGACGAGGAAGAGGAATCACTTTGATGGCCCGACAAGTTGAAGGATCAAACCACGGGTCAGCTTTTGATCATCCCAACGCCCCTCCCCCTGGCAAATGACCTCAGCCACAGGGGGATCCCCCCACCGGAACGATTATAGGATTATAACTTGGGGGATCGAGCTGGAATTTCGAGATCCAGTTGGAATGCAACAAAGAAGCAGATTGCCCAGTACCAATTTGACATCTTATTCCCTTATCTAATAGCTGACGACCAAACAGAATACTCTGCCATCTCCAAGAAGGGCGAGAGCGGGCCGTAGCTTTCAAAAACGTCCAATTAGGGAAATACTTGCCCTTATAGACCTGGGCGAGCAGGGATTGGGGTTCAGTAAGGATGCGCCAGCCAATTTTGGCTAGGAGCGCTTGATTGAACTGCTCAAACCTCCGAAACCCCATCCCTCCATCATGCTTGCTTCTGCACATATTCCGCTAGGACAACCACCGAATCCGATGGTGACCCTCAGCATCTCCCCACCATAAACGCGCCACATGCTTATCCAGAAGACGACAAATTGAGACCGAAAGCTTGAAACAGGACATAACATGCAGAGGCAAAGCCAAGGCAATAGATTTGATCAGCGTTTCCTTAGCCGCCCAAGATAATGTCCTCTGCTTCCACCCCTGGAGGCGCTCTAACAACTTTTCCTTCAAGAATCGGAAAGTCGCCATTTTGGATCGAGCAATCAGTGTAGGCAAGCCCAGATATTTTTCATGGACACCCACCGCCCCCACCCCCAGAATTGCCGCCAGGAACTCCTGGTCTTCCCGCACAATATTTTTACTGAAGCACACCGCCGACTTAGCAAAGTTCACCTTCTGGCCACTCAGTTCCTCATACTCATTCAGGACCACCATCAAATTCTCACATTCCTGAAGGGTGCCTCGTAGAAATAAGTATGAATCATCCGCAAAAAATAAGTGCGAGATCCTAGGGGCCCGAGGAGCCACCTTTACACCCTCAAGTCTCTTTTCAGTAATAGCCTTTTGAAGCAGGGCCGAAAAACCTTCCGTACAAAGCACAAAGAGGAGAGGGGAAAGGGGATCGCCTTGTCGTAACCCCCTGGAAGGGGAAAAGAAGCCCGAAGGAGTCCCATTCATAAGAACTGAGAACGATGCTGACCTGAGACACTCATGAATCCATCCTTGCCAGACGGAATTAAAGCCCATCTTGTCTAGAACAGCGAGAAGAAAGGGCCATTCGAACCTATCATAGGCCTTTTCCATGTCAACCTTTAGGGCCATGTACCCTTTCTTACCTCGCGTTTTAATTTTCAAGTAGTGCATTAACTCATGTCCAAGGAGAACATTATCCACAATTTGCCGTTTTCGAATGAAAGCATTCTGGCCGTCAGAGATGATTTGAGGTAGAATGCAAGCCAGTCTCTCTGCCATAATTTTAGTAATAACTTTATAAACAAACTGGCATAAACTGATTGGCCGTAATTGCCTCACTATTTCCACACTATCCACCTTTGGGATCAGAGTGAGCCAGGTATGGTTGAAACTGCGCAGCATCCTACTCGAGGCAAAGAAGGATCAGACTGCATCAATAATCGAGCTACCCACAACATCCCAAAAGGCCTTGAAAAACTTCCCCGTAAACCCATCCGAACCAGGAGCTTGTTTAGACCCCATAGCAAAAACCGTCTTCCGCACCTCATCGGGGAGAACCGCAGCCGTTAGGGAGTCATTCATAGCTTGGGTGACACTTTGGGGAATTGGCAACGCAGCCACCCGCTCAACCATGTTATCAACTTGACTTTCAGTGGTAAAGAGATGTTGATAAAAGGTTGTCGCCACCCCAGCCTTCCCATGTTCGTCAGTGACCCACTCCCCCTCATCATTCCGAAGACCTTCCACAAAGTTCTTTTTACGGCGAGTCCTGGTCACTGTATGAAAATACGAGGTATTTTTGTCACCCTTCTTCAGCTAATGGACCCTGGACTTCTGCTGCCAGTACATCTCCTCAGCCTCCCACTGACGATTCAACTCCACTTCTAACATCCGGACCGCCTCCCAATCGATTGGATGGGAAGCTTTAATCCGCTCAATTTCGCTCTGAAGAGTATTAATATTTTGCAAGGAATTAGTAGTCCCGGCACGACTCCAATCATATAGTAGG